GTCATTAACAGCTACAACATATTGTAACATTGTGTTACCCAAACATGCTGCAGTGCTTTAAAAATAATTTTAATATTTAGTTGCTTTCAATTGTTTTGCTCTAACTATTCAGACTATTGAACTCATGAGAGTTTATTGCCAATTTAAAAACTATACCTTCTTTTGTGTGCTGGTGATTTTAATGACAAAAGTTTATATTCAAAACAATTACTTGCTATGTGTAAAATATATTTTGAAATGTTTTTTGAGTGAGATTGCTTTATTTTTTTGGAGAATCTACAAAATTATTCATGAGCCTTTAATGATAAAATTCTTCCTGGAGGTGTAAGAAAATACTCCTGTGACTTTTCACATCCCTTTCTCTTTTTATTATTCCATAATTTTTCTTTTTGATTTTAGAGTATATTTGATTAGTCATCTTCTGTTCCCCACACTTCTCAAATCAACTTTGGTAGCATTATCAGTGAAGTAGTCTACCGTAGTCGGGGTTTTCACTCTTATGACCTTCTTGATTTGTTAAACTTAAATCATTTTTTTTACATAATTATTTTAACTGTGTGCCTTGTGGATGTCAAAGTTACATGAGATTGTAGCTTTTAAATTCATCACAGTTACCTGGATTTGCCATTCAGCAAAATATCTGATAAGGGTTTATGACTATATTTCAGTGAAAATTATGAAACACACAGTATGGGGGATCATAACCAGTTTAACAATAATTATAACAAATAAGACTCATGTTCTCTAAAGTGATATGAAAAAAGAGTTTTAGAAAGTCTTCAATCAGAAGTATTTCACTGAAGTTGTGGGTATTGGATTGATTTTGGAAGTGTTTATAATTTGCCTTTGTATGGATTCTTAAAAAAAGATTTTAAGATTTGAATTATCAGTTTAAACTCTCACAACAGCAATTATGTTAATGTGACCTGACATGCATATAGCCACTATTGTGTCCAGATATTATTAAGAATTTATGTAGATATATTTTAAGACTAACAGAAAGATATTTTAAAAGATTATAAAATTTTACATTGTCTATAATTACTAAATAACCTATCTAATGTATTGAAAACAATTTGCAATTGTATGACTTTATAAAAAAGCAAACATAAAGACAACATCAATGCAACACAGGAAAAGCAGGAATACTTACAGAGAACAACCCCAGTCATGCAACAAGAACATTCTTACAGAGAAGTTATAAGGATATAATATACATTTATCTAATATATATTCATAAGCCAATGAAGACGGGAAATATGATCACAAAGTTCATTAAAAAAAAGAATTGGAGAATCTTAAAGTTTCTTAAAAAGTAGACCAAAAAAGAATTTCCCAAAAGTAAACATAGAAAAAACACCACAAAACAATAGACACCATACAATATTGCAACATAAATACAACAAGTAACACCATAGAGTATTTCTTGTCTCCTTTCCATAGGACAGGAGGACTCCACCAAACAGAACTCAATAATATCAGATATCAATTAATGCAATGTGTTCCATGGAAACTGCTCACAGGTCAACTGTTTTAATCCACAGGGAGACTTTAGATTACACTTATTCTAAATATGTAAGCTTTCATATCCTTCAGGAAATCTTTAATTAGCAATATATCCTCAGTTAAGCTTTTGATTTATATTGAGTAACTATGAATTCGATATGTTCTCCGACAAGTAATTTTGAGTACAGCTATAATATGCTGTCATTTATATAGAGAGATGTTTGCTTTAATAAGTAATCAAATTGATGATATGTTTGACAACCAAAGAAAAAGCAAAGATTCTAATAATATCAGAGTATATAAGTCAAAATGTCTTCTGTTTACAAAATTTTCTGGAAAGAAAGACGGACGAAGGCAGGGGGAGAAAGATGAGAGACAGAGAAACACATTTTGATTAGATCTTTGATGTTTCCTATGTTGTCCAAAATTCATGCAATTTTGTAGTGGTTGGGTTAGAAGAGTCAGGAAACAGAATGGATATTTGTTCAGTGCCTTCTGATTTTTTAGAACAGTATTTATTAATTATGTTTGTATAAGGCATAAGTATGCTTAATAGATCATAATTTATAGATTATTACATCTGAGCACCCAAGTTTAGGAGCGCTTAGCGATCATGACTCCATGCCATCAAAAAGTTATTGAGACCCTATCTCAATGTTGGGAATGGTGGCATGCACTACTGTGGCGCCAGCTATGAAGAAGGGTCAAGATCTGAGGCCTGACCCATACAAAAATGTAAGATCCTCTCTGAAACATAGTTATAGCAAAAAAAAAAGTGCTAAGGGCATAGTTCCAGTGGTAGAGTGACTGCCTAGCGAGCACAAGGCCCGAAGTCAAATCCCAATACTGCCAAATCAAAATCTGATGCTGTTAGAAGTATTCTACTACAGAGAAATGAAAAGAAATAACTGTATCCAATGGAAATTTATTTTTTAAATTGTGGCTGAGGGCAGCAGAACCTGACAAAACATAAAACAATACCTTTGTGGAGTGAAGAAGGAGTTATTGTGACAGCACATACACTCTTACTGCCAAGTAGGTAGATGTTCTTCTTCCTTCTTGTTTGTAACCAGGGCAAAAGAGTCAACTTGAAGGGGAAGAGAACTGGCAAGAATAGTTAAAAGCAAACTGACTGAAGACACCAAGCCAATGACCAAGTTACTCAGTGTGGTTATCTAAATATCATTGTGTTTCTTGAAGAAGACCATGAAATATTACTATGTTAAACTAAAGGCAAAGTGTATAATTATTTTTATTAAATCACATATGTTATACTACATTCAACTATAGAGAAATAACAGATAGGATAAATATTTTTAAGTGTGAGAAGACATTTACTATTAAGATTATTTATTTCTGGCATTTTTGGGAAGGACTTGTTGCCACCAGAAAAGGTCTTGAAGATAAAATAAAAACTGAACTTTCTCATATCTATCAGAAATATTTAGTTTAATTGGAAAGAAGACAGCTCAGAGAGTGGTTTTTAAAACATTGTACCCATTTATAGTTATATTATGTAATATATTTTTTCCCTCCTATAGGTCACAATGCTCAATATCTTAGACTTCCATAGATTTTTATATTAATTTAAACAGGTCATGTGAGTGACAAGCCAGTTATTATCATAAACTTCAGCAAGAAAGTAGACCTAGGGGACATGGTTGTTGAGAAAAAAAGAGACTGACTTATCAGTTGTCCATTCCTAAATCTAGTGGGTTTTTCTCCATTACTGTAATGTCAAATATGTTGTGAGTCATTCACAGAGATAGACTGAATGAAAGGTTTATCTCTAAAAGTAAAAGGATTTCTTGATCAAACAAGTTTATGCTACATAACAATCAGCAGAAAAAATCTATTCAATATAAATAGTATTGACTTCTATGACAAAGCCTATTAATTATTCATGGTAGTTCCTGAACCACAGAAGATTTTCCAACCACTGTTAGACATAGGAATTCAATTCAATTCACCTCTATCTAGAGAGCAGATATCATGCAGACTAACATAGCAACATGAATCATATGTATTTAATTCAAGATGCACTAACAATTTCAGAGGGGAAAAGTCTGCCTTATTCATTGTGGAACTTAACACACAGGATATATGTCTCCAATATGAAAAAAATGACTTAAAATCAGTTCAATATTATTGTGCCTTTGCATTGTAGTCTTTCCTATTTTCACAGGATTGATCTTTTCAGTTTGAGGGACAGATACCACCCAGTGAGAGAAGAGTTTTAGACCAACTATAGCAGGCTTAGAGTTAGGAGCTGGGGGGCATTGGCTGTGTATAAGCAGGGGATAGAAGCAGAGTTGTGGAGAGCTTTAAGCCTAGTGAGAGCACATCATTTCCATTATGACAGACAAAAGTTCTAAGTCGATCACGACAAGAATAAAACTGTCAAAGTGATGCCAAAAAAGGGAGGAAGCATTTTTTTAAATTAAAAACCTAGCTGAGTTTGAAGTAGAAAGCAAAAATTTTTCATCTGTCTACACTGTCAGCTTTCCATGGATGTGAAAATGTATTTATTATTTTCTAAATTAATTTAATGAGTTCCAGATTGTACAGGATGTCATAATGAAAACAGGATTATACATGATAATATGGAGTTTTGGTCTCTAAATGCATTTTACCTAGATTCCCTGTGTCCTACTTTTGATCTGAGCGTGTTTCAGTTACCACATTGAAGGAGGTTACACAAAGGGTAAAATAATAGAAACTTAATCAGGAAACAGGTTTTTGTATTGCTGCATTTTATTACATAGTCTTGCCATGTTCCCTAACCTAATTCTTGAAAATAATAAAAGATGTGTCATTTTAAAATATGGACAATTGGAACCACATTGCATTATAATTACTCATCTTTCTTCTGAGATATCTCAAACATTTCGCACCAATTGATCTTCAGGACAAGATTGTAGATTATTTAGGGGTTACTGATGAGGAGTATAAACTTCCTGAACTTCACTTCTGTAACTTGCTACATAAATATTATTGGTTGGTAAATTTAATTTTATAGATGAAAAACAAGAACAAAGAGGCAAAATAATTTCTCAGAAACAGATCCTTTTTTCCAAAAGTACAGTTCAATAACTTTCCTTCAAGAGAATAGTATAATATACACTGGCCCCATAATCAGAGCAGTTTTTCAGTGAAAGTAATTTCTTGTAGAGTATTATGAAAAATATATAGAGTATATAAAGATATGTGGTTATATTGCACACATGACTGATTTTGTTAACGTAATGCTATTTGCTGGTAGATAGATCTGTCTCTGCATATACTTTATATAATCCATAAAAAATGATTAGTCTATTTAGGTTGGCATTTGGAGTCTGAAACCTTACATCCTTGAAATTTCTGCCATCCTCAATCAATTTGGAACAACATCCAATTTGGCAACAAAGTATCTCCTGAGTTTCCAAATAAATATTTTGGAAAGTTAAGATTACTTCTCTAACATTTTCTTATTTCATTTTTTTGTCACTGGCCAGATAATCATCATGGCCACAGCCTTGAAGAAAGAATCATCTATGGAGTAGAAAATAGTAGCACATTCCTGGAATGCAGTCCAAAGTCACAGCGAGCACTGGTCTATTGGCAATTTCAAAGGCGAAATGAAGATCGAAAAGAAGAGGTAGAGGGAAACAATTGACTGGATTATTTCTATCTAACATATATTTTGTCAAATGACCCCAGCATGGGTGACTTGAAAGGAAGAAAAATTGCTGAAAACCTTGATCATTTTCTAAGTCAATAATCCGTTAAACAATTGTTCATTGTAGGCTGAACATAGGATAAGCTATGTAGTAGGAGTTGTAGAAAAAATTTCACCATAAGAGTTTCTGCCTCAGAAGGCAGTTTGGGATATATTTTAGACTCTCCTTACTTCTACCTGTGGTTATCTACAAAGCAATAGTGTTATTTGTATTTATGCATTAAAATTAAATCTTCCCCTACCAAGCATGAAGCCCTGAATTCATTCCAAAGTAACACCAAAAACAAAAATTAAATCTTCCTACTAATTTTAACTTTTGTTCAAGTAACTCTTGTGTCCAAATTTATTTTCCTTTCTTGGCATCTTCCTTCTCAAATAGGGAGAATGCTGGAGAAGTAGTAGAGTTAGGGTAAAGAATTTTAGAACATTATCAACTCTGTTATAAACTACTGAAGTAACATCAGGCAGACATTTCCCCTAAATAGAATCATTTTCTCCTATAAAAGTAAAATATTGCATAGAGAAAATCTCAGTAGTACCCAGAGACTTACAGCTCTTTAAAAGTATTTAGTAAGTGTAATTACACTGTTTATTTCTAAAAAGTGTATGAATTCAGAGGTAAATTCAAAATACTCTCATTAACTTTTATGACACTTTAATCAATTTTAGACAAAAAAATCACAATGTGCAGACAGCAGTTCATTTTATACCAATGCCAGCTGAGGGCTTCTGACACTTATTTTAAAGTGTATTCAACATAACAATAAACTAGATATAATCCAGGTATGTCTTCTTATTTATGTAACACTCAAGACCTAGAAATTTTAATAAATAATTATTAAACTTGAAATCTTATATTTCTTTTTCTCTCCTTGCTCATCTACTAATCTTTATTTAATTTCTTCAAAACTTATTTTAAGTTCATTCTAATGCCCCATTGTTTTCTACAAGCATGGTTGTATAATTCTAATTTCAGTGCTGAATATTAACTTTGTGTCATGTTTATATACTTAATATCAAATCTCTAAAGTAAAATATATTTTTGTTCTTTAGTCAAGATATCCTGAAAATTTTCAATTATTATAGTAAGAAATTCTATTAAAATAGTGGTACAATCAGGTTTTCCAAATGCCTCATCTTCTCAAATGGAAAATTCCTACAAATTTTCTTAAATTAGAAATTTTGTTAACTGCTAAAATGTGCTTCAACAAACCTAAATTTTTACTGACACAGTTTTAGATCTTACTTTTCTGCTAAACATATGTTACATAATACTTCATTTTTTGGCTAGATCAGAGTGGATGATCATATCATCAGGACAGAACAAGGACTCCTGCTACGTAGTCTACAGAAGAAGGATTCAGGCAACTACCTATGTCATGCTGTGGAGCATGGATTCATGCAAACTCTCCTCAAAGTGACACTGGAAGTCATCGACACAGAACATTTGGAAGAACTTCTTCATAGAGATGATGATGGAGATGGCTCTAAGACCAAAGAAATGTCCAACAGCATGACACCTAGCCAAAAAGTCTGGTACAGAGACTTCATGCAGCTCATCAACCACCCCAACCTGAACACCATGGATGAGTTCTGTGAACAAGTTTGGAAAAGGGACCGAAAACAACGTCGGCAAAGACCAGGACATTCTCAAGGGAACAGTAACAAATGGAAGCACTTACAGGAAAATAAGAAAGGTAGAAACAGGAGGACCCATGAATTTGAGAGGGCACCCAGGAGTGTCTGAGCTACATTACCTCTAGAAACCTCAACAAGTAGAAACTTGCCTAGACAATAACTGGAAAAAATGCAATATACATGAACTTTTTCATGGCATTATGTGGATGTTTACAATGGTGGGAAATTCAACTGAGTTCCACCACTTAGAAATTGAGTCTATGAGTAACTTTCCTATCAGGCTTTCTTCTAAACACCAACACCTAACAGAGATTACAGGTGAGCACAGTTGTTCACTTCAGCAGATTTAATGTTTCCTACGAGATTTCATTGTACAGGTTTCACTTTCTTCTTTGCCTGAGAAATAAAAAATGTCATTTGCCCATATTGCCATTGAAAGGAGAAAAACTGCATTAGCAAAGCCATTTTATTGAACTAAAAGTTTAAAGTAAACTGCATGGATTTAGTAAGCTGATGAATATTCCAAAACATGGTTGGATTCAAGGATATTTTTTGTCTACCAGCACTCGTGTTTGTACATACTGGCGGAGTAAAATAAGTAAAATGATACTGAATGAAATGGTCTGTGGAAATATAAAAAAATATAAACCATTCATCATCCAGAAGAAAAATGGAGTACACTGATCTACTACTGATGTCTTCTTTCAGCTTTGACCTAAAGATGTATTTTATTAAAACCATAATTTAAATGTACCATGACAAATATGCAGTAAAAAAATAGTTGTTTTCTAAGCTAGAGTAGGTTTGTCTTACAATTATCGTGCTATTTAGTTTGTTTTAAAAATTACAGTTGTGTGCTGCTTTTTATTCACCTTTTGTTCTCAGTTCTGTAAGAGGGATAGATGATATTGCTCTAGAGACATGTATACATCATTAATTCCTAAAATGAAAGTACAAGTTATGTTTTATTTCTCCAAGGAAATAAAACAAAGGGAAAATTTTCACACCTCCCTTTATTATCTAAGTTAGTCCTAAATTGCATAACGATCTTTAAAAAACAGAGAATTAAGACAGTAAAAAGGGAAGAGACAAATCGACTTGTTTAATGCATTTTCTTGTATGTAAAGGATCAGTGAAAAAAATGACCTGTATGTCTCATCAAAGTAAGCAGCATTGGTCTTAGCATAGTATTAACATAAAATGTCTCCTTATTCTTTACTTGAATTCGTGCATGATGTTTGAGACATAAAACCTCTGTCATGATTTCACTAGGAATTATTTCAGTCACTTAATGATTTTTGAAGGGAGAGAGAGAAAAAGAGGCCAATACTATTCAGAACAACATTTTAAAGGCAAACTTCCCAACTGTTTCCTTCTGAATTAGCTGCTTCTTATCTCACTTTGCTTAAGACAATTTTATTTATAAATAATTCTTGATTCTTTTCACATCAGTGGGAGTGATTTTACACAAACTATTTTCCAGTATACAACCCACATTTAGAAAATGTAAAACTCTTTGTTTTCTGAACAATTTACCACATAAGGTAAAATAATTTTAATTAATGATCTGTCTCCTTTGTTGTCAGAGAATGATTCCTTAAGAATCACTGACTTCAAGATACCTACGACTTTCAGCAATTCTTATACAGTTCTTTTTTACTGCACTCACCTTTTCAGGAATACCTATGTAGGTCTTTCTCATGCACAGAAATGCCAAGAAAACATCTTATTGCTAATTAATGAAGTGACATTGAAATTTTAACTGTAGTTTTCTTGGGATTCTAATTAACTCAGCATTAATTTCTCACCTCTGAATACAGTGAATTGTTATTTCCTCTCAGCTGATATATTTCACAGATGGACGCTCATGTTTCAGTTTTAATGATTATTTGAATAAACAATTTGTTGACACTTATTTCAAATAAAAAGCTTAAAAATAATCTACATCCAATTTTAGGTTCCATTGACTAACATGGTGTTGCTCTCAGAATTACATCCTCAAATGGAAGCTGAATTGTGAAATTGTTTGAAGAACATACTCCTGTACATAAAATAATATTTGAAATATAAATTGAAGAACAAAGAGTGCTCCAAAAATAGGTCATTCTTTTATTTTTGTGGAGTGTCTTAACTGTACTAAAATTCAGTGTTGCATTTCATTCTAAATTTGCAGCTGAAGCAAATTTATTTGCAATACCAGAAGTATCTTATTTCTTTCTAGTCCTTAGCAATAAAGGATTTGAAGGGATAGAGATTGTATGATGACTTCATGGATGCCTTCCAAAATCTGAATGCATTTTGTTTAGCATTATGAAATATCAATAGGAAAAAGACTATTCTTCAATTAAAAGTATCAGAAACAAACAAATCTGCTGGCATGTCTTTGTAAGCTATCAGGTCTAAGTTTTCAAAGAAAATTATACATATGACTTTCAGATAAGTAACTCTTACTACAGTCATAATCTGCCAATGTGTATTGAGAGACAGAAGTTTGCACGAAAAAGAATTAATGTCCAATTTAATAATTCAATTTTAATAGACTTTGGCATATGCATGTATCATCAGAGATGAAACTTCGCTATGAGACTCATGTGACCTTAAGCAAATTAACAGCAATCTTAAAGTATGAAAAAGATCCATCACAGTTCAGAAATTATGTCCCCATTAAAACCAAGTGTAAAATGTAAATGCATGCAAACAAATGCACACTTCTTCTTCTTTTCATGTATTATTTAGTGACTTTAGTGGTATGTGTTTAGTTTTTTTTGCTACCTACACGCTAGGAAAAAGAGATGTAAATAATTTTGAAAAGAAAAGGAAGAAGAGTGTAAAATATAAGTTTCTATAAATCCTCCCCTTGCAATGTGCTGAGCATCATTTTAAAATGCAAGACTTTCCTAAACAGGTGACCAGGTGTTTTATGTGCTATTTAAGGGCAGAAGGTGTGTGTCCATTCAGTAAGCATGCTTTTTGCCAGATAGTAAAGTAAATATGTTCCATATCTGTATTTATCACTGCATTTCAGATGGGAACTAGAAAACTGGAGAGAAAAATGTAATGAAACTGCTGCTGTAAATTATTCCTTTTAGCATGTATTCAGTTGTTAAATACACATTTCTTCAAAATATTTGAATTCAGATGTCTTTACTGTTCCCTGTAACATATGGTGTTAAGGAACATAAGCTTAGAAAAATTTGAGAACCAGAATCAGGTTGCTGCATAATTAGCTAACAGATTTCTTCATTGTAGTCATCTGTAAACTGGATCCTATATTTATGGTGATGATGTGAATTTTTATATCCTTTAAATTAAATATTGTTCTATTTTATGTCATACCAAAAAAGAAAATATGGGAATGAGATTCTATAATCTGTCATTATCATAATCAGTTTGCTTTCATTCAGGATCTGTAAAGATCCCAGATGATTGTTATTGGCATTGCCTTTCCTGAAGGTCACAGGCAAGCATTATCTTAATATGAAGTCACCAGTATAACATTTTGAAATCTTTGTCTTAGGATTCATTTTTTAAACACTATTGGGTTTCATCAGCTTTCAAATCTACTTGGTTTCAATTTAATGGAAATCCCTCATGGCTTCAAAGACATACTTCACAAGTATTCACCATCAGCTTATTTTGTAATAAAATGTTAGATATAAACTGGCCTAATGCCAAAGATACCCATGATTTTTATTTTAACTTTGTCTGTAATAATTATTTAAAGTCACTGTTAATGTTTGCAAAATACATGTTTCTATAAAGAAGAAAACATTATTTTTCAAAAAGTCTAGAAAATCCTATTAGTTTGTTTGATTTCTAAAAAATTCTTTATACTTGTTAATTAAAGAAACATACTTTTTTTTAAGTTAATCCATAGTGCCCCTAAGTGAGAGAATGAAGTTGCGGAAATATGGTCTCAAACATTAAGGCCATTTTTCACAATCAGTCTCACCAAAGAAAACATTGTATTCATTTCAAACATGCAAGCACATTTGTATGGGAAGCAAATCATACAAAAAATGATGGTTCCTACCTGTTGATATAAGTAGACCTTGGCTGCTAATTATGTTAGTTGATGAAGATGCTAAGATAAGTGAGACATGACCCCGACCCCCGTTCTCAAAGAGCTCACAACAAAATAAGAGAAACTGTGACATGACCGTCATCCTATCTGGCTAGTTTCTGCTCAACTAGCGCTAAAGCCTGACAGCCGCTTTCTCTCTGCTAACTGTTTGCCTAGGATGTGCATTTCATTGCTCCACTTACACCAAGGTGTGATCTGTTTGTTTACATATCTGTCTCTCTTTGTGGACTATGTGGTCCGTGGGAGCAGGGTTTGAATCTAATTCACTTCTGCCCCTGTGCCTAGCTTGGTGACAAGTACAGAGAAGCAGCTCAGGGAATCATTGCAGAACAGAACCACGTTACAATATGACAAGTGTCAAACTGGAGTTCACGACAAAATCATGCAAGTTCAAAAAGAAGGGAGGAATTGACCTTTGTGGAGAGATCATGAAGTGCCTCAGAGAAACCATGACATTTGAGCTCTGATTTCCGACATCAATCAGATTTGCCTAGATGAAGAAAGAAAGGAGTAGAATAGGTGTGAAAACTGGTTTGTTCTTGTTACTTTTGGGGAGGTGGAGAGGGAACAACAATTACAAATGAATAGAGCACAGCATTTAAAGCAAAATTTCTCACTATTACAAGCCAAAATTGTGCACTCCCCCCCCTCCTCAGATTTTGAGTTCTTACCCTCTACTTCTAGCCCAAATTATCATCCCTAGCACACAGTGTCTTAATATTGACCTCATTTGTCATCAAAGTATGAGATATTCTTCCTACAGTCTTCTTCAAACAAGTGTTTAGGCCAAAATCTTTTCTCAAATTTAACCTACTATGCTTCAGCTAGAATTTAGTATTCCACAGATGAATGGTAGACTCTAGCTTCATGGATTGACACCGCTGTGCTCTAACTCAGTTAAAAGAGAAGTTTCTGTTATAGTTAACCTACCTGTAACATTACCTCATTCATTTTATGTTGGAATACAAGATTCCAACAGCATCTTGCTAATTAACAACCTGGCTTCCATGAAAAAAGTATTAAAATAGAAATTTGTTTTGTTCAAGGGATACCTTGGATGGAGTAATTCATGGCTAAACAATGCTGCAAGTGTGACAAGCACATGTAGTTAACAGGCAGTTAACTGTTAACTGTTAAAAATTCCTAGTTAATAGGAAATTTTTTTTTAAGAAACAAAAATACGGTTAAAAAATATAAGGCCTAGCTTCACCTTGAATCTGTCAACTATCCACCATCGTTACATTGAACTGTCAAAATTTTTTCTCATAACAAAAGAATGTATTTTGTTTCTTTTAATGTAAACATTAACTTGTAGATACAATGTTTATTTATATAGTACCTAAGCAAAAATTCTCATAAATGTATTGGAGTCATCACATCTGGGCTAACGTTGAAGTCTCAGCTTCCCCTGTCTCTTCCTCTGGCTGCAGCATTAAACCTCAAAGAAATGCATTTTTAATCCATGTCATTTGTGAAGCCTGATTCTTAATATTTTGTTTTGTTGATTGCTAAATCCAGCAGAGTTTAAACATTTTTAGACAAAGTTTGTATCTAAAATCAGTTTTTTCACTTTATGGTTTTTTGTTTTATTTTTCTAGGGAACTTCAAAATTCAGGGCATTTGCTTTCTTAAATTCAAAAGAGTGACAAATTTTTAGGCTTCAAATATTTTTGTATTATTTACACAATGTTTTAAATTGCTGCTAAGTATGAACACATTAGTTTAAGTCTAGGTCTCTATATACCTTTCAGTACACTACACTTGAGTCTAAATGCTGACTGATCATAGTACATCTATGGATCACATTTTCATTGTTACCATCTACCAGTTTCAGAATCATTGCTCATGTTTGTCCTTGCCTCACTCTGACCCTAACTGCATATCAGTTGAAGTTACTTATATTTTATTTGGTTTGAGTTAATTGAATTGTATTACCTAATAAATATTATACAGGAACAGAAAAAAAAATGTTGTATCCATATGGAGGAGTGTACTGTCAATGAGTATATTGAATTCTTGCAATTATGAAATATGTTCATTAAAAAGTATAAATTCATCCTTTTGTAGGATTATTTTATTTTGATCAAAACATTTGTGTACTCATTAACTTTAGAAACATGTTGCTATTAAGGTTTTTCTTTTGTCTTTGCAACTCCTCCAGAATTTTTAAAAATAAACAACAAATATCCTAGTTTACAAAATCCCTTATTATTCAAAAAGTAGCATATCTGCTTCCCCTGAGTGGAGGCAAGAATATAATTTGCAACTGTTTCTATATCCTTTCTAAGCTCCTGTTTGTCATCAGAAACTTTTTTGTTTTTTAAATTTGTCCTCTCAGTTAAGTCTAGATTCATCACTGAGAGGTGATATCTCTCATATTTTAAGAGGTAATATCTATACATTTTGCAAAATTATCTGATTGATAATTTTAGAACAGACTCTAGAATATATTGCATTGTATTATAATTTAATATGATGTTAAATAAAATCAACATAATCAAACATATAGAAACATTAATACACACTATTCTAAAATTACTGTTGAGTGATAATTTTTTTGCAAAAAAAAGTTGTTGTTTTTCTTTTGTGGGACTGTAATTTGCACTCAGGTCTTTGCACTTCCAAAGAAGGCACTCTACTGCTTGAGCCACACATCCAATCCATTTTTCTCAGTTTATTTTAGAGATGAGGGTCTCATGAACTGTTCACCTGGGCTGGCATCAAACTGCAATCCTCCTGATTTCAACCTCCCAAGTAGCTAGGATTACATTTGTGAGACACCAGCACCCACCAGTTATATTAGATTTTATATACACTAAGTTCAAGATAGTTTCATGCTATCTTCTGAGGATTAGCATACAAAGTAGGAAATTTTTATTATTCCAACATTATATAAGAAAGATGAATATGCACCTTAACCTTAGATTTAACATTCAGCAAGTTTTAAAATCCAGATTATAATCTTGTCATCTGATCTAATTAAGACAGGAATTTTTATCACCATGTTATAATACATGGTGAAATAAACTATAAAACTTTTAATAAGTTACCACTTCAATAAGAATTATTTTAGTTTGGATCACATAAAACCAATGTACACTCAAGGAAATAATTTATTGACTTTGGTACCTGTTAGCATAATATGGAAAATGAATGAACCAATGAGAAGCTGATCAAGTGTTAAGTTACAAAACACTTTAATTGCTATCTATAATTTATTTTCTCTAATAAACAAAATAGAAAAATATTGGCTTCTTTATATTTTTCTTAAACATGTAAAATGTAGCACAAAAACAAAAGAGGAATGTTTGAATGGATACAAAATAAAAGAATTTGATTAGATAGACAAACTAAGAAAAATAAACCATATATGCATATATAGCATCTACTTTTAACATTAAAAAATAATTATTAGAAATTATATCTATTTTTAATAACTCAAAATACTTTTTGAGGAACATCCTTACACAAAACCTTAATATATAAAAGACAACATTCCATAGCAAATATTAAAAGTTCTTAGAATTTTAATACTAAAAATGTGGTTAGAGAATTTTATAAATATTCTTTGTTGATACTTCATAGGGTATAATATCAATACTTAATGTCAATACATGTTAGAATGTAAACTATGTAGGTTCCTATTCTTCAACTCCAGTATATGTAGCTTCTGAAATAATTTTTTACTTAATGCATATATCTGGATGATTTAATTCAATAACAACAAATTAAAGGAGTCTAAAAGAATATTTAAGAAATTACAAAATGCATTGAGGATATTTTTGCTGAAGTTCTAAGTCCTCCAATTTGCCACTTGGTTGTAAAGTCTCCCAGTGCCACATTCTAAGACAGCAGCCCTTGGTCCATGGACCAACCCAGTGGAAGTGAAGAGCAGGAGCCAAAACTTTTCCTTAGAATTAATCACCAAGTCGTGGTCAACTTCTAATAAAAATGACCCCTCAGAAAAGCAAGTTTTTCTAACTATTCATTAATTTATATGAACTATTTCTAAGAGAATTTTAAAAATCCAAAATTTAGTATTA